ATCTGCGATCATCGACGAGCCAAGACCGTTTATCAAGTCTTGCGTCTTGCAATGGAAAATCAAACCATGCATTAAATTAATTATGATGATGCCACTGACGTATTTGCAGAACAAAAGGCTCGCAGAATGAATTTTTAATTTTCGTTAATAATTCCATAGCGGCAACCCATATTCTGTATGCAAAAGCTCCACCAGTGACCGAGTGATTATAACCGCTGAATACTAGTAGCTCAGCCTTGCTTGGTTTCAAACCAAGCGAACGGGCTGGCTGTATGGATGGATTTCGTGGTTTTCAAAATCTGTAACATGAATACGAGCCAATTTCCCTTAGAACGTCTTCCATGAAGGCATCCCTTCTGTTAGGCGAAGGCCTTTTAGCTTTGACATATTCAAATAACCTAACCTATATGCAGTGAATACGGAATGATGAGAAGCTTAGGAGATGGCCGATCCGAGAGCGGAAAAACGAATGGTGATGAAGACTCGATGATATGAATCTTTCCATTATAATAAAAATTAGCCCATAAAGAATTTCTTAGTATAAAATGGATTTTACGTTTTATCTTAAACTCTATCCTACTTTCGTGTTTGTTTAAAAAAATCAAAACATATTAGAGAAACTTAAAAGGAAGATTGGCGAGAGTTTTTGCCCCCACCTCGAAAAAGTCCAACATCCAACGCTGTCTCAGACAGTCCCTGTGTGAGAAGTAATGGAAGTGATGAGTCTTTATTCGCACTCTCAAGAAGTGATTCTTGAAATTAACCTCTTCGTCGTCCGTAACGCGTCTAGCGCGTTCAAGTGAAACTTCCCCAGGACGCCGTAACGCGCTACAAGCGTTCTTCTACATTTCAAAACTTTTAAACGTTTAAAACGCTTTTTAAATGTTTACTTGTTTGAGTTTTTTTATTTTTGTTTGTTCTAATACCTCCGAGAGGGCAGCACTAATCAGGTATTCTATTTCTAATTGAATTTGCCCCTGGTTTTATGAATATTCGCGCCATTTTACTTAAGATACAAGACAGTAAGAGATTGTTTCAACGTCTACTCAGCAGAAAAAGATAAAAAATGAGATTGTGAATTGGAAAGACTAGAAGGATATACGTTTGATGAGTACAGTCCATAATAACTCGATGATTGATGTTGAAACACGGAAAAAAACTGTAAAAAACCAATAATTGTAAAAGATTACAACAACAAAATGGGAGGAGTGGACCGCCTGGAACAGATGTTATCAAATTATCCTGCTGTTAGAAATAAGCAGAGATATTATTTTCCCATTATGCTTTATTTCCTTATAATTTTACTTAATATTCATTGACCTTTATCCACTACGAAAGTTATGTATGGAAAGTTATGATGTACAGAGAAAACAACATTACACGCTACGAAAAACAGACGGTCGCTGGGAAGAAATTTTCGCGGACAGGAGAGGACGGCGAAAGGGTTAAGAAGATCAGATGAGGCACTCTATCCACTAAACACTGTGTACATAAATAAGGATCTAAGGATATATGAAAAACTCCGCAGAAGAGAGTCCACTAAGAGTTGAGGCGACTCCTTGGAAATGAAGCAACAATGACTTAGTTATCTTACCTAATTTTATGAGCTCCTCTAATATGGAGATCTTCATAGATAATTTCATAATTTAGATTGTCGGCAATGTTTGCAACAGAGCAGCTTGCCACACTGTAGAAGAAATTTTCGTTAATTTTGTTGCCGTATTTATTTACTTATGGTTTTAAATTTCAGATCATGATAAAGAGAATGTTCCGATTGAAGTAAAGTGCCATATGACTTTTCTCAAGAACTTAATTGGGATAATTGGTATAAGTTGCTTCATACCTTTTTCGGTGGCATTTGCCCATGCAGGTGAGGCATAACTGAAAATTATCCTAACGATGGAAAAAGTCAAGATTGGCCTAATGATAGACCAGAAATAGTAAGTGAAGGTTGGCCTAATTGATGGACTAGGAGAAGGAGAATCTAAAGGATTCTACTTTTCCTGGTCTATCATTAGGTCAATCTCTATGGTGAGAATATTTGAGAGGATCTGGCTACGTTTGAATATAGTATTGATGGTTTTGCCTTTTATCGGCTTATGATTTTTCCATTTGAAGGAGATATTTAAGTTGACTCCAAGGTATTTCGCTGCAGAGACAAGAGGAACTTGTAAGCCAAAAAATTGATATAATTTGTCAATTTGTTTCTTGAACTTTCTTATAATCACGATTTTCTTACAATCAAATCTGTAAGTAAGACTTATCTGAACTGAATCAGATTTATCTGGATTGATTTTGGTCTTCCACTTGCAGCGCCAATTTTCGATGACAGGTATTTTATTTTCTAGTCTCTTGATAGCATGATTTGTTTTTCTGGATTTTAAAAGAACTGCCCTGTCATCGGCATAGCATGAAAGTAGTACGATGTGATCTTCACTAAAAGTTATAAAATCGTTTACCAAACTAATGTAAAGAATCGGGCCTAGGATTGATCCCTACTTCAATTTGTGCGAGTATGGAGAATTTATTTCCCTTGTCTAACCACAAAAGTTTTTTTTTTTTTTTTTTTTTTTTTTTTTTTTTTTTTTTAAGGGGAGGATTTAATTAGCAAAATGATTCCACAATAAAGATCTAGCTTGGTTAACTTTAAAATAAGCCCCTCATACCAAACGCGGGGTCAAAAAGATGTCATGAAAAGCTCTTCGACCTGTATTTATATTCTGCAGCATGAGCTCTGGAAACTTTTGGAAGAACCGACCGGACTGCTTCGAAGAAGTGTTTCCGCATATCTTCCAGAAAGTCGGCAAGACTCGTTCAGAATGAAGTTGCCTATATCTCGAGTTCTAACTGAGCTGTTTTTAAAATATCAAATCTGTTTCACTCAGAATGAAGAAATCTATAATTCTATGGAACAACAAATTACTTAAATAACAAAAACATGGGGTGACAAATTGCATTAAACATAAAATAAACCATCAAATTATCATTATAAAATAGTAAATAAATAAATAAAGCAATACAAAATGCAGAGAAAAAACAATACAATCAAAAAGGATTATTTACAAATAATTTACAGCAATACAAAGCAGAAGTAAAAGGAAGGAATGGATTTAGTTCCATTCAATACATAAATATGATACTATATGATGTTAGACTGTTTTCAGTCTACAATTTTATATCACGTTATAAAGGGTGATTCTAAATTGTTTTTACAAATTAAGAGGGGTGATAGTACTCATCCAGATGAGCAAAAATTATCATAGAACATAGGGTCGCATTCCACTTTGAGAGGCAGAAAAGAGGAATATTAGAATTCTAACCTGAATCCTAAATTAATAGGGTTTGGAGAGCGAATGAACGAGACCAAAGTTCCACAATCAATTTAAAGAAAAATTCACAGAATGCACAAAACGGATAAAACCGAAAACTTGGCTTTCGAGTGTTAATTCGAGCTCAGACTTTGATGGCAAACACTCAAATGCACAACTTTGGTTGGCAAGGTCTCAACCTCGCAAACGATTGCAACCTAATCAAGGGCTGAATATTATCAACTAACTCCAACTTTCGCTGTATGCCGAGATTAGCATGAAAAATTCACGTTGTATTATTGCTGTCAGAACTTTGTGTCCCATAGAAAGGCACTTCAAGTAGAATGAGCGCAGCACAGTAAATCCAGGAGGACAGGATAGAAGATGGCGAAGGGGGGGAACTACTACCTTGATACTTGATATCAAGGTAGCAGTTTTTTCCCCCTAATAGATAATTTCTCACTAATAATTTCAATAATTAACTTGTTGCAATCGTTTGCGAGGTTAAGACCTTGCGAACCAAAGGTGCGCATTTGAGTGATTGCCATTAAAGTCTGATCCCGAATTAACATTCGAAGGCCAAGTTTTCGGTTTTATCCGTTTTGTGCACTGTGTGAGTTTTCATTAAACTGATTGTGCAGCTTTTGGTCTTGTCCATTCGCTCTCCCAACACTGTTTACGTTCTAATATTACGTTACTTGAAATTCTAATATTCCTTTTTTCTACCTCTCAGGGTGGAAGGCGACCTTACGTTCTATGGTAATTATTGCTCTTCTGGAGTACTATCACCCATCTTAATTTGTAAAAACAATTTAGAACCACCCTGCATAATTAAAAATTGTCAAAGTTAATTGGTGTGGACTTTAAAACACTTCAAAAACCTCTTCGCGAAGTTAAGTATCAATTTTCGAACTAGTTTTTACGGTAATCATAACGCGATTTTTCTTTTGTTTCAGGCAAGGGAAAAAAATATTTCTGTCTCAAGATAATCATTTGCCTAGCAAATCCCAACTAAAGACCAAACATATGCTAATTTATAATTGTTCATTACGATCATTTCTCACATCATTTATAATGCAAAACAAAATATTTAGTTAATATAATTAATATTTCTGTTTCGAAATAATCATTTGCCTAGAAAATCCCAACTAAAGACCAAACATATGCTAATTTATAATTGTTCATTATAATCATTTATAATGCACAACAAAATATTCAGTTGCACTCCCACAAAGACACCGAATTATCGTTTGCTTAGGCTTGCTGTTGTTTAATAAATTATAGCGTAATGCTAGCTGAAGGAATACTCTCATACAGAATTTCCAAGGGAAACTGACTTATAGTCACATTACACATGGGGGGGGGAGAGAACAATGAAAATCCTATGCACTCGGTATCTTTATAGGAAACTGAACCTGGGGCGAGTTACTAAATTCCTGTGAACTTATTCACTCGGCCACTTGACAGCTGAATGCAATTTTAAAATGTTGCATGACATATTTACAGAAATGTTTGCTAAAGCATTCCAATCTTAAGACTTCTGTGTTAACAGCGATTAATTGATTTAAGCTCAGCAGCTTACTCGTTATCAAATTCTGCCTCGTGAAAAAATATTCTGATTTTATTATTTCTGTACGTAATTAATACAGAATTTTCATATTAATGAAAAGAATAATTATTATTATATATTAGGGCAGGATTAGGACTTGATACCTGGATGCTACCATTTACAGAAGAAACTTCAATCTTCCGAAAAGTTCAACAGCCAATGCTTTTCATTAATATGGAGAAGTTTCAAACAAGAGCAAATCTGAAGGTGATGAAAATGATGGAATCTACAAAGTCTCTGCGTGTAATCATCACTCTAAAGTACGTATAATTTAAAGTATTGCTTAACGTGTGAATAGTATCAATAAGTAATAAATAAATAAAATTCTGAGCATATATTTTCAAATGACAGAAAATGTACATGTAACACTGCTGTTCAGAAAAATTACTCCACCAATAAAGATGTAACTTACAACATTATTGGAAAAAATATGTATAACGTAAGGCAGTGGTCCCAAACTGGTGGCCTTCGCGAAGACATTTCAATTATATATTTGTTGCCAATGTGGTACTGCAAAGATTTCGAGATTTTAGTTATTTCAAGTCCGAGCTTTTATTATGTTCATTTCCATCAGAAATCTATAAATAGGACTAATAAATTTAGAATGTGATATAAATCTTAAAGATCTGAAGAAGGAAATTTTACTAACTTTTATTCGTACTTGTCAAAAAAATAAATAATCCTAGTAACTAATTTTTGCATTAAGAATGATCGTTATGTTTGAGAATATATTGATTTCAACAACGTTTTTTCATAGTTGAAAATTAATAAGGGAAGAATCCGATGAGTATCTACAATCCATGACGAAGATACTTTTCTCCGATGAACGGACATTATACAAATTTTGTGTTTAACTAAAATTTTATAATTATTTACATACAAACATATACATTTTAATGTAATCTTAGAAAAATTTAAAAAATAAGAAAAGAGGTTGGCTGTCATTATTTATTGTTGTTGTGACTTATCTCACTTGTTCGACAGTAACATCAGAACAAGCCCACGAAATTCATCGTGGCAAGGAGAGCAAGATTGCGCCTGTCACTGGCAACAGTCTTGAGCACCTCACGGTGACAAATCCTTTTATTTTAAAATTTAAAGTAATTAATTTAATGACTAATTAAACGTATTAAATTTTTCCACTTAAATGTCAGTTTGAAATATTAATATTTAACTGTCAATAGATTTTGAATTACAAAGTGTAACCAAAAACATTTTTTTGCAAATACCGAACTTTAAGAAAATAAATATAAATTTGAATTTTTCTTTACATTAGTATTATTGTTTATGAATATTTTGATAAATATTTAGTAAGAAAAATTTAAAATTTAGCTAAAATATTTTTTTATTTTACCGATAAGAATTTTATTTGGCTAAAAACAAATTCTGGCCCCTCACTTATTTCCAAATTGTGCATTTCGCCCGTATGCAGTTTGAAACAACTGATGTAAGGTACACTTAATTAAAATTCTAAGTTAAAAGGAACACATTATAAATTTTGAACTTTATCTGCCTCTTTAACCATACAAGGTACCGCATACAGCATGGTAGCGACTGATACAGTCGTTGGATAGCTATGTGTGCAATATTATTTCATGCAGATTGAATACGTATCCATACCTGATTAGTTGTAGTTGGACGTAATGACATGGGCCAACTTTCTAACAACTATTTCCAAATGTATTTTATGGAAGATAAATTGAATAATTAAGCTGTCTAGGGAGAATTGACATTTAGTAATTAATACACACAAGAAATGCTACTACACAACACTGCCTTGTTGAAATATGACATGTATGTGGCTGTAGTAAAGTTAAGACTTCTGGTTCCAAAACCTTACAAACATATAATGCTGACTATTAATAATATTGTAAACGGTAAAATCGTGAATGAAATAGGATCTGAATTTTGATGCTGAGTGTAAGGCCGATAGGATGATCTAATATACGGTCTCTTCCATGGTACTAGCAAATGAAAGACTGGTTCTTGTGGATCCGCAAAATGTTACCTAGACTTGCAAAAGAAGGGAATTTACTCCCATTTATGGTCTTAATATCTATGCAGTCTCCGATGCTGACAGTAGATCAGTTGAAGTCGCAAAAGTGAATTCGTAAGAAAAACAACTTTTCCGTAATTCTATGATTCTGTTTCGAAATCCATCAGTTGTTTATAATATTTCACTCTGTATTAAAACATACTTATGCATTACTATCAGAGCAAAAACAGCAGATTTTACCAATACAATGCTTTTCTTTTTACGGATATCTTTTGTCTCCGAGACAGATTTCAACCTCTTCAACTGCATACACATTCTACTCACTTTTGTAGTAGAAATTTTAATTACCTGTATCTCTTATGTAATTAACTCTTGCCTTAAATTTCAGGTTTACAGCTTTTCCATGGTGTGACAATTTCTCTGAGCAGCAGAATATTCTCTACTTAATAATCAAGATTTACAAGATGTATGGGGGGGGGGAAACCATATATCGTTGATTTAATTTATGAGAAGTGCTATTCCAATAATTTAATTAATAGTTTAATATACTTCTACAAGTAAAAACGAATGAAAGAATGGTAACAATCAAGAAGGGAAGAAAGTATTCACAATTCACTATAATAAAAACAGAAAAAGAATAAAATGTACCTAAAATTGTCAACAACAACACAACAACAACAAAAACAAAAAAAAAAAAAAAAAAAAAAAAAAAAAAAAATGCTGATTTTAAAGTGAAATTCAAAAAATTTTGATTCAGACGGTGGAAGATTCTTCAAAGGTGCCTTGCTATCACTAGAAAATCCTTCACTATTTCATTCAGGTGAAAGATGACTTTTTAATGATAAAGGTAGCGAATGGAATTTCATTTCATATCGAGATTTAATAATTGGTAAAACTCGAAAGCTTTAGCAAATATGTGTGAATTATTCCAGAGAAAAAAGCAAGTGAACATTGTTTTCACACATTTCACCATTCTAGCAAAGTCTTGACTTTTTTTTTAACCTTTTGTAAAAAGATCTATTTTTAGCACCAAACTACTTTACAATACAGCTTCCATATTTGCTCTTATATGTTCAGCTGGTAACATTCTGATTTTATGTTGATAAATCTAATTGAGAGCAACTGTGCACCTGGAACCCGATTAACCCTGACACGTCCATCGACATCATGAATGAGAAACCATGATTAATCCAACCAGGCAACTATCTTCCACTTATCCATGGTCTAGTCTTGACATTCCATGGCCCACTGTTGGCGTAGTTGATAATGACGCTTGGTCAACAGAGGCACACGAGTGGAACGTCTGCTGTGCAGTCCCATACCCAACAATGTCAACTGAGCTGCGTGTTCAGAAACATTTGCACTTGGACCTGTACTATATTCGACTGTCAGGTGATTGATTGTCAAATGATTTTGCTGTACCAGTCAGGACAGTCTCTGACGTCCTTTTCTTTGATAACGTCAACACCTTGGTATGTATTGTTGGTTTCACCGCCATTTATCCACTTTGCATAAATACTAACAATGGCAGAACATGAACAACCTACCAGTCGCGCAGTCTTTCCAAAATACTCATTCCGAGTCTTCGCGCCATTGCAATCTGCCCCATATCAAATTCGCTTAGATCAGCAACCTTTCCATTACTCGCAAAAGTAAGAGCATGAACAATTCCTTACCTTCTCTAGCAGCAGTTATATTCCATTCCCACTTAATCACATGCCCTCCACGTCATCCAGACATGTTCATTGAAAAATGTGGGGATGGTCATAATGTTCTGGCTGGTCAGTGTAAGTTCATATTGCTTTACGTAAAAGGTTTTAAGCAGAAAATTATTTTTGAAAAACAGCAGATATGCACAATAAAAGTATCTCTCATATCACATTTTATGCTTGTATAGTGAAACAGATAATTAGTAGTTTTTGCACAATAGCATTTGCATACTCAGGAAGATCACTGTCCTCAGATAATGTAAAACAGCTTGATAGCAAGCTGCGTTTTATGCATAATTTAGAGCAAGCATACAAGAGAAAACAGCTGCTATGTTCCAGTTCAAAATAATTAAAAGGAAGATGATACCAAATCCAGTTTTACTGAAATATTAGATCTTGGAAAACAAACTCTGCACTTGAGAAATGCATAAATCCAGTAGTCTGCATTCATTTTTGGATGCAAACACAATTTCGATTCTCAGAAAATTCAGTATACTAGCATTTTCTAATGCATAGTTACACGTAAACAATTCAACAAAAATGTACAAAATTCATAATATATATTTGTTACAGAAATAATTTTTTAATGACTGGAGTTTCAGAATTTTTGTGCTTGTGTTGACTTTTTTTTTACCTTCACCAATAATTAATGCCTAGAATATATATATATATATATATATATATACACACATATATGCGTGTGTGTTTGAGTATGTTATCTGCTGTTTCTTAAACTGAATTTTCAGATTATTTTCTAAATATAAACGAAGAACTTACTGTCCAAAACTTTTCAGCTTAAAATATACTCCATGAAGGCATCTCTCTCTTTTTTTAAAAAAAAAAAGAAAGAAGTCCTCCATAATCAAATAAACCAAACCAACAAAAAGTTTTCAGACATTTAAAAAAAGTTTCATAGCAAGCTCAACCTTAAATGTCAAAGCAAACCTTATCATTCATCATAGATGATTTATTTAGATTTTGAAACAAATAGATTTGTATATGTCAATGGCAAATAGGGATATTAAAACAGCACTTGTAGAAACTTTCTTAATATAGACTATTGAAAACATAGTTAAGAAAATGAGCTAAAGAATAATTAAACTTTCTTTTAAAAAAATGCGAAATTTCAGTTCTAGCACTTGAATGCTCTCAATCCATTTGTACACATACAGACTATAATGGCAGTAGTACAACAGGGATTCATTTTAAAGAAAACTTTACCACTAGGATTTTTATAAACAGTATAGTTATTTATTTTTTCTTTAGTTTAAGAGCATTAAAAACTATTTTCCAGTTTTACTGAAAAATAGTTAATAATAATAAATAAGTGATTATCGATACATATAAGAAGAACTTTAGCAGGAAAGAGACACTTTATGTTTGATTTCACTTAATCACAATTACTTTATTCATAAGTTTCTAGAATAAAATGGAAAATAAAAAAAACCTCACAATGGAACTGATGATTCAGGAAAAGAAAGCAAATTATATAAGGTATTTAAAAATTTATAACAGTTTGGTTAATTGCTATAGTTTTTGTTATTAAATATGATATTGTATAAATAAATTGTAATTATTCACAAATAAAAAAAAATCCTAGTTTAGAACAAAAATTCAAAAGAAGATATGTACACAAAGCTAAGGAAAACATGATACTTAATTTGCACACTCTGGTTTCCAAAGCATGCAGTTCATTAGAATTTGACAATAAAATGAAAAGTTTAATTTTCAAACTTTAATAAAATGGACCTTTTTCATTTTATATGAATTTATGTAATTAACATGAATTCAATGAAAAATAATTCAAGCTAGTTGAATTCCTATTTTTGATATAAGTAAATGACCCCAGAGTTTTAAATAATTATATCTCTTGCTAAGTAGAATCCAGGTATTCATTTCTTTGACTATTTGTTTGGAGCCCGTGCTTCAATTTTTAATAAGTTTATGCCAATTATAATTAATAATTCATGAAATCAAAGTTCATATTACATTGCAGGGGAACAGTTCATCTTAATCAATGTGATGTGCCATTTTTATGTGATAAAACAATGAGGCGATTGTTTGGAGCCCATTCAAATTTAAACCGGTTTACAGCAATGAATCTCACAACCGCATTGTCAAATGTTTTTCTAAGCAAACAATTAGGTAAGTACAAAGTTCTTTATTGAGAATCACTTAATGTAAATAACTGGTTCATATTTTACATTTCTGAAAATTAAAATGCTGAGTTTTATTTTGCATCTTATTATTTGGATAATCATTATCTTTCTTTATCATCCTTTTGAGAATGAAAGTTCTAATTTTGTATTAATTCTTAAGTTTATTTAAAGTTATTTTAAATATTGTTAACATAAATAATATTAAGCTTAGGAAAATTTTAATATCAATAATTAAACATATAAATATGATAATCAAATATACTTTTTTTTCAGGTATACACGTTGATGTCAAACACGATGCATATATATTAAACCATCGACATGTATTGAAAGAGGGAATTAATGTAGCATAAAATTTCAGGAACTGTATATATTTCTTCATATAAACACCTAACTCAATTACCTTTAGAGATAAAGGTAGGCGATGTTAAGATGTTTATTAAAATTAACACAAGGCAATAACTACCCACCAAATGAATATCTACATATCCATGATTATACAAAATTTTTAAAATGTGCATTTGTTTTAATTTAATCTTCATTTTCCAAGTTTAACCAATAAATCTGAATAATGACAGAAATTAGAAACTAAATTGGAAGAAATAACAAATAAAAGTTTTAACTGATCCATATACTTTAACAGTTTCTTTTATGCACCTAAACATGCTAGATAACTAGTCAGTACCATTCTTAAAGTTTAATTATTAGTTACAAGTTATCTATACCACCAGATAACATTAAGATTAATGGTTCTTAAATAGAAATTGTGCAAAAATTATTGGAGGATGCAGGGACATTTAAAAATTTTACTTTTATGAATAGATAGATAATTAGAGATTTTATTTATATAAACAATAGGTATTTTTTTATAGTTCATATACAATGCAAGCAGTCTCGTGGCTATTTGTTAATTCTTTTCTACATACATGCCATAAAATAGAGTTCTTTACTTTTTCACTTTAGATCCCTTTAAATTTCTTCCTAACTACATTGGAATATTTCAAACATTAATTTTTTATTCAAGTGCTGGAATCATGAACTATTTCATCTGACTAAAAAAGGTTATGAAGGTTATGAATAACACAATTTTGAGCAACCCTAATTTAGATCATTTTTTTTTTGTTTCTTTTTTACAGTTTAACAAAGACTCTATGTATATTTAATGATAAGAAATGTAACTTATGTAAATACTGTATATATCTGTTTTCACTGAAAGAAAAATGTATGTTATAAAGCATTTTCTTGCACTGTATAATATGTCTTTTTTCCTTTTTTTTTAAATAAATGCTTTGTACAATGAACATCAACATTTTTTTAAAAAAACAACAACACACAACAGAGTTTTTCTTTTATTATGAAAGTTAAAATACATATGAACAACCTTAAAATACAGTGCATTAACTAGAAAATTAGTCATCACATAAATGTTTATATTTTACTGGTACATACAGACTACATTTGCTTAAAATACATCTTAGACACACATTTACTTTTTACTGCTTCTTCCTGTAGGACAAAGATGAACATTTAAACAATCCTGGCAATTAGGTTTAATGGGTTTGCATACTGTTTGCCCCAATCCAACTAAATGCAGACTTACATCTTTCCAAAGTTCTCTATCAAACAGAAAACATTAACTAATGATCAATAACAAATATATATACATATATATATAATACAACTAAATAATTATGCTCCAAATTACTTATAAAAGAAGTGGCCATTAAAACAATGTAATTTATTTATCATTTTCTTAGCAAACTAAAGTTTTAAGGGATTCTTTTAAAATTCTTACTCTGCTAAAAGCTGAATAAAAATTGTTTTCTAAAAACTATAATTCCTTTCAAGAGTACAATTAATTATTTGCTGCAGTACCAAACAAAATGCAAAATAAAGTAAAGTTCAAATCCAAAATCAGCATGCAAATGTATTGGTATTTTAAAAAAATGATACTCTTTATATTTTAAGTAAAAAAAAATTCCAAAATTATACAATTTCATTTCTTGACTTTCTTTTTATTTTTGCCTGACAAAACACTTCTTGCAAAAGGACAAATATTGTTGTTCAAGCAGACTTCACATGATGGAGATACTGGTTTGCAAACAGTTTGGCCAAAACCAACTAATGTCAGATTTATTGGTCTCCATTGATTTCTAACACAAAAATACCAAAAGGTTATGTCAAATAAAAATCTCTCAAGATGTAAGTAATTTATTAAAGTCATATGAAAATGTGCAACATAAATATGCTTCAGTTCAAAGTTAATATATGTAATTATGTTACATAATAAGATTCTAAAAGAGATAAACTGGCTGATTACAATTCATATAAAAATTAATACATTATGCAATGCATTATGCTTTACAATTTATGCAAAATATTACACTTGCACAGAAACATACTAGACAAACTCAATACTATTTTATAATTGAAAGCAATCTTGATTTATAATTATTGACAGGTTGTATGATTATTTTTCCTAACTAGATTTATATCTACTTAGGAAACTATAATTTTACTGTTATATTCAAGAAGTATGAATACATTATTCAAAAAATTAAAATTTGGTATCACATGAAACAATTGTTAAACACTTAAAGTACAGAAATCATCCTTATAACTTAACCTGTTCTTATAAAGGAAAATACAACAATTAAAAACACATATAGTTTAATAATTAAATTGTAACAAAGATTTTTTAACATGATTTTAAGTTATAAGCTTAATGAAAAAGAAAGTAATAAAGACTAATTAAACTGAATTTAAGACTGAGAATTAATGAAGATTTAGAGCTTTATGAAAGAGCACAACCAGAATGGTACGCTTTTCTTTCATACCAGTGTGCAGCATATGGCATCTTGCATTGCATGTATGCATTTTATCTATATTTACAATATTTAAACATGATAAAGGTTCAATTTGAAATAATCTTAAGTTTTGCAATTGAAGCTGAACAAATTCATATGTATGAAGTCCAAAGAGAAAAAAAAGTTTACGATAATTTTCATAAACCATATTCATTTAGGAAGAAACTGAGTAAACCATGAGTGAATATTTTTTTTTTCTTCCCTCCCCTAAGTATCCAAAACATGACAAATTTGAACATGAGAACTCGAAAAGTAAGGTAACTAGAGCTCTTATTAGAATAATAATCCTCCTTTTATTCAAATCTCCTGCCTGGAGAGCAGTAAATGATCACACCATTCGAATGTTATTTAGTAGATGGTACCAGTGTTGCTTCAACACAGTTAAACATTAGTTGTAAGATAGCTATGCTAATGGAAATATTGAATATTGAAGTGCACAATAATAAAGTTACTGTACCTGAAACAAAGCACCAGCAGAAATCAATCATCATCTTATTGAAATGTAGTCATGCCATGTAACCAAGTTTGGTTTTGATATAATGAGTTGATAAAAGCAGGAAAGATGATCTGACAGACAAGAAACATAACAACAGCTCTGATTCAAGATGATCATTGCATTCAACTCAGCAATATTCTTAAAAAATTCAACATATGTAGTATGCACAATATTGTTCATGTGCCAAATGGTTACAGAAGATGCACTCATATTGAGTGCCTAAGCAGCTCACAAAGTCAAAAAAACGTAACTGTCTTATGTATTTAATAAAGCAGTTTAATGGAGAAAGGCTTTCTGTTTTTTCACCATTTTGTTATAAGTGATGAAACATGAATATAGAAGAAAGTACCCATGTCATGGAAACATCCATCATCATTTCTTACAAGAAATTCAAAACAGCTGCCTTTTAAAAAGAAAGTTACTGCAATGGTTTTTTGACTGGTAATGGATTCTGCACTGGCTTCAAACATAGGATAAGAGAAAAGAAACAGCATTAAAGATTTCAGTGACCGTTCAAAACAATGAAGAAATGTGAAAAATTCTCTCTTAATTCAAAACAATGAAGAAATGTGAAAAATTCTCTGCTGGGTCTGACTGAATATTAAGGTACTTGTATTTTTTAATTTTTGATATTAGAAACCTCTTTAATAGACACTTTCCAAAATTTCTAGGCAAGAAGTAGGCAATGAGTTCTTTTAGTGGTAAACTTTATTCCACAGGCACATCTATAGTAATAGTAAAGCTTTAGTAAATATTACTTTTCAGTACAGTCACCATGATAGTCCAAATATTTGCTCCAATAGTACATTCGGCTGCCAAGATATTTCTTAACCATGAAACCAGAAAGGAGTTGCTAATACACAAAATATAAGATCCATACAGCCTGATAAATAGTCAGTTTCTAGACTGTTGCTGTATATAATACATGATGAGATGGCAGTGACATTCTATGAGAATGCAATAAGCATACCTTTAGAACATCACCAATGAACCATAAAACATTAATAGGTTCTCATATTCCATTCAAATTACTTGATTCGGCTTTATAAGCTTTTATAACCTTTATAAAGGACTGAGTCATCAGACAGAGTCCTATTTAAAGCTAATGCTATGATGGAAATTTGAAATTCAGAAAGAGTGGGAGAATTGAATACATTTTTATGAATTTGGAGGCTATACAATTGCATTGTCCTTATAGGATGAAATTTTGATCCTTATTCATTTGCTATGTTTGAGTATAAATGCTCTCAAAGTTCTGTCCTTTGAAAGAAGTTTTGCATTAAGCCTTTTGCAAGACATAAGGTATTCTTTAGAAAAGTTATTGTCAGACACAATGCTCATGACATTATCTTCCTTGCTCATATGTTCTAGAACAGAAAATTCTCACATATTTTTGACCAGCCTCTTGGCTCCTATGTCAAAAATTCATCTGTGTAGTGTGCTGTAAGTGAAAAATGCTCTGCATTGAGGATTAGGTAAACATTAGTTGAAAAATACAAAATTGTTGCGGCCAGATATATGTCTGCCGGGAATATAGTTTATCCAAACCTACAACTGGTACCATGTGGAGAAATAGGTAATATCTGCACATGGAAAAAATTTGATATGAGACAAAAGTTGAGAAAGCCCTAGCATAGCAATGTTGAAGAAGCATTACTGAAATGGCTCACTGTTCAAAGAAGCTGTTGCCGCTTGAGATTTTTTTTTTTTTTTTTATAATATTTAAATGGTAAAAAAAGCAAGAATCAATTTTCGTATTATAACATCTTTATTTTTCTCTCTAGCACTTGGTTTTTACTTGCTTATTAAAAAGGTAATTCCTTGTTGATTTCAGTCATGATAACACTTCAGTATCTCTAGAATATATAATTTTTTATTTCTTTTTATTTGTTGCTATGTGATGGGTAAGTAAAAGTAGTAGTAGTTATTAGCACTTTCGTTTTCCATCAATAAGTGTCACTACCAAAATAATGTCTTGGCAGCCGGAGTGTGACAATGTAGCCTACATCACTTCCCTACCAGTAATGAAGTTAGCCTCTGTGAAGCTAGATCACCATTAGACGATTAAGGGCGGTACAACTTGTTGAATTGTTATTCACAAGTTGAATTAACAAGTTATTTCACTTGTTAATAATACTTGCAAACTGAGTTTAGGATTACCATGCTTCAGATAAGGGCATTTTAAAGTATCAGCAGTCACAAAGCTGGAGTGTGACTATGTAGCCTACAAAGCTATTATCTGCCGATATCTGGACAGATGTTTCACACAAAGGCCAATGAATTTGCCAGATGCTTTAAAGAGACTGGCTTTTTGTGCTCAAATGGCTGACTAGAGAGGTTTAAAGAAGCAAAACAACATTTCTTCAAGTTTCTTTTCAGCATTTCTTCAACTTCAGAGAATTAGGCAGTATTTCAAAATTAAATTAAGAAAGGGGGAAAAAATTACATGGAAGCTCTTGCCAGTACCATGAAAAAGACTTTTTCAATGCCAATGAAGCTGGCTGTTCTAATAAATGATGTTGAAGCAAATGTTAAATTTACAGACCAAAGATGCACTGGTGGAAAATTATCAAAAATACGAATCACAATTCTTGTATGTTATAATAAGAATGGCACTGAGCATTGTAGGCTTTTGGTAATTGCAAAATTTCAAATGCCTAGATGTTTAAAAAAATGTGAAAACTCTTTCTGCTTGATTTAATCATAATGCACAGATCATCTAATCCTGTTTCATCAAATTTAACCACAATGAATGGATAATGCCCAAACTGTTTTTGAAAACGATTTACAAAAGTTGGGATGATGAACGTTTTGTCAAAAAGTAAAAGACTTACTCTTGGTTACAAGCTTTCATGTCCCCACAAATGCAGGAAACATAGAATGGATTGTTTTCTTGCATCCAAATACAAACCAATGTCCATAGGTTTGATGCTGCAACCTATGGACGGAGGTATGATCAGGAGCTTGAAGTGTCATTTTAAGAAGTACCTTATTTTAGGCAATGTAGAGAAGTATAGCAATTACATTGATAATAATAATTCACTTCTTGATGGAAAAGTGTTAGAAATGTCTTGGCCACTTATTTTACAGAATTAACCATCTGATATTTTTTTGGCATGCTGATAAGAGGAAAATGAGGATTTGCCTATTGCTAAATGGTGCTTCAGTATTTTCAGAATATGATATGGATTTTATTCAATCATGCAACAATAATGTTGTTAGTCGAGAAGATCCAAGTGATGAAGACATTGAAGCAGAAATTAAAATGAGAAATGCTAATGTTGATGGTTCTTCTTTTGATGCTAATGAAAATATTGAAGAAATGCAATACATAGAAAGGAGCTTCCTACCACAGTGAATACCAAAGCTCTGAGTAATAAGTTTTTATTCAGATAAACTATCGAACCAAAAGTGATGGAAACTTCTCAATTTTTGGACAAAAGTATGGATAAAATATTTCTCCAATCTGCATCTAACCAGAGAAAATTATGGATTATTTTTGTACTCAGAAGTTAAGTAAAAGTTAAAGATAAATTCATAAGTATGTTGTGTTATTCATTTTACAGTTTTTACATTTTTATAGATAAAATAATTACTCATAGCTATAAATAAGTAATTCAAGAGAATGATGAGAACTGTGATATTTATGTTAAGCAATCTATTGTGCAAATTTGTCAACTTATAGTGAAACTGGAAAATAACCACCAACAAATAAATAAATGTGTATAATAATAGCTAATTAAATCTCAATAATAATTAAATATCAATATAATTTTTTAAAATTAAATGTATTATTCACTTGTTTTGATAGATGAGAAAATGTTAATTAGTTTTCTTTGTATGTGTTGTGTGCTTCTTCATTTCATTTTTACACATTTTTGTGAGATGATTCTTTTTTATATATATATAGGATCAGATAAAGTGAACCAACTTAAAAGTCCCTTAAGTTTGTTATAGTGGGGCTGGATTGTACAAATATTTAAAAAGACTTAAATAAAAACTATTCCCATAATTAATTTAATAACTTATTAAGTTTTTAATTCCTTCCAATTTTACAAAATAAAAGCAAGAATGGCGCTTAAAAGGCCATTTTTATGAGTCTTTCAGTAATATACATTATGAATGTTGCGCAGCATGGCCAAAAATTAGTCATCACTTCCATTAGCGGATCTCTACCATGCTTCTGTGAGATAAGGTGGAAGCATTTGCAGCAAAGTACTCCACATGGCATAAGCTTCAAAATACCTCAGCATGATTCAGTTGATTGAGTATTAGTACTTATACTGTCTGCAGGACTAACAAATTTCTTTGGTGGTTTGAGCGATAAAATAGCAGAAGAAATGATTAAGACAGCAATCAGTTTGAATGGTGTCATCTAAAAAATAAATAGTTAACAAAAAACAGTAACATACTATATCATTACCCATTATTTTTTTTGTTTAATATCATCATCTAAATAATATGTTTTAAAATGCATTTGATTTATGATATTTCAAATTAACAGTCATGAACATTTGCAGTATTATGGTGATAAATATAATACATTTTTATATCATATATTACATACCACAGCACAGAAAGTTTTGGTATTGGATGTTGTTGCAAAATACCTGTGATAATTTCTCATAAAAGTGTTTTATTTTTATTTACGTTCTCTGTGACAACAATACTACATTATGTAGCATATTTAGAGAAAGAAAATATACAATAACACACTTACTTTGGAAGCCAACTTTCTAATGCTTTGCGTGTTTGCTCAGGATCTTTAGTGGGTTTCTTCACCCATCCTAATCTGTTTGATATTCTATGAACATGTGTGTCAACAGCTATTCCAACAGTATCATTCCAAGCAACACTCATTACAATATTAGCCATCTTTGGTCCAACACCTGGTAACCCACAGAGCTCCTTCAGTGTACGAGGAATATCTCCATCGTACTTATCTTTCAAAATTTGTGTTGTCTGTTTTATGTACTTTATTTTTGACTGAAATTAAAATAGAATATTATGGCAAATATTCAAAATAAACTATTAATAAAACTAAAATACTATATATTAAAACTGGTAAATTAATAGATAATCTTTTTTTCACACATAACTAATTTCTGTTTTTCTTTACCTTTTTCTCCTTTGACATGACAACCTCATTATCCCCTTATCCACATATCAAAAATACAAGGCTGATCTATATTAAATGATAACTTTTATCTACCATCATATTTGCAATTTCAATCCTTAACAGACATGAAAAACACAGGAATATTAAATGCATATTTTCACATTCCTATAATCTATTTTACACAAAGTTCAGCAACACAAACTCGGTTTTCAATTATGTTATAAGTTTAGAGAGATCTAGATTACTTAGGCCAGATAAAAAGGAAGCTTTAAAACAGAACTAAGATGAGTCTTCTTAATGGGCAAATAATATCACAGATCATTAAAACAGTAATCACCAATAATATGCTTTCTAGCAAAACAGTCATATACTTTATATTAATTGAACTACAGACCGATTGCTATAATACAACCTTATATATATTTCTGTGTTCACATATATATTTCCTTATATATATTTCTTTGTTTGTTTTTCTTTGTTATTTATAAAAATTTATAGAAAAATCACAGCTAAAGTTTAAAAAATGCACACTTCCAAAATGAGTTGGTGAAAAATCCCCAAATGTCCCTTGGCAACTTTTTTTCCTTAGCTTCTATGAGTGTTGGTACTAGTAATTGTCACCAAAGCTCACCAGAGAAATTCTGCCCATAATCTCTAGCTTTATTAGTGCTATCCTTATGATTTCAAGAAAAACTGACTCAGAATTAAAAACTGATGGCCATAATGCATGAAATAAACGCTTACAAACATAAGGAGCTTCAAAATTATATAAAATACATAATGAACAAGCATACTATTTCCGGAGAAAAAGCACTAAAATAAATAATTAAAAAACATAAAAATATATAAAAATCAATTTACAAACACATATATACAAATATTTACATAAATTACAACATTATCATAGAATTTTTATCTTTGATTACCTTGAGATAATGAAAGATAAAAATCCATATTAGATTCTAATTAGGAGCTGTTTGAAATGCTGAAGCTTTTATATGCTCTTTGTATCTATTCAAAATTTTTCCACCAAAGAATGAAAAACAGAAGTATATTAAATCCAAGAAATCTCTACACACCTATATTACTGTTGCAGATATTTTAAAGTAATAAAACAGAGATTACTTCATGTAGCAAATGCAGCTTATGGCATAATTGCCCATGAAAGTGTTACATCTAAAATTCTAAAAAAAATATTGCAGAAAACTGTGAGGTACACTAACTCATATGTTGAATACAAGGCAACACATCTGAACCCTTGGTCAACTAAATAGGTAATTCACTGCATTATACAAAATTTATGAAAGGGATATAGAGAATTTCACATTCATTGAATATGTCAGAAAATTAAATACTTGATAATTAAATAATAGGTAAATTTGCACACCTGAAACAATGTTGGCATACTCAATTACAAAGATGTTCTTTTAAAACTTTCAAGGATGTTGGCAAATCATCCTTGAAAGTTTTAAAAGAACTGAGTATATTAATGTAGTTTCAATTTTTTATTATTTAATTTGAAATTTATACAATGTGTGTCACTCAGTAATTATTAAGAAATCATAAAATTGTTTTTGCCACTGTGTAACTATTTTCACAGTAGTAAACACTCCAATACATGATACTTAAACAATATTCTTTTTCATAATTCAACAGTATTCTAGTCATATAAAATGTAAAGGTCTCCTTTACATTCAGAAACTTCCCACAAATGCTAACCTGCCATAACTTAACTCTTAAAGAATTTTTAAATTCTTTTTTATAATTGTTTTATGGATCTAGCACCAAATGTCCATAGATATAATACACAATAAATTAATTTATATGTTTAAAATCCATCCCATGTTCAATTCGTGAAAAAAACAAATGCCAAAAACAACAACAATGGCAGAAAAAAGGTGAAAAAAATCCAAAACAAAAAGGGAAAAAGAACTTTATATGTTTTGCTGCATCATCATCACGGGGTTGGTGCAATGAAAGAAGTAAATACATCAGCCTGTTTCTGAACCAACAAAGACAGAAGTATTTTAAATATTACGTGTTATTATTATTTATATTTTAAGTATTAAACTTTAATTTGCGTCTTGTTGGTTCAGAAATAGGCTAATGTATTTATTTCTTTTGTTACACACAATCCATTGAAGACAATGAAGTGAAAGATGTAAATTTCTTTTTTACTTTTTGGTACTGGTATTTTTGTACCTTTCACACAGTTTCACATTGCACTTCTGGCTTTTTTCTGTCCTATTTGGTTTGTTCTGAATTGAACATGGGATGGATTTTAAATATATTATTTTAATTTATTTTACATTATTACCACTACTTGTTGCTGCTTTTAGCGTGCAATTAAGATTAAGTTTTTACTTTTCATTTATACATTTTTATATACTATAGACAGTATTGCTTTATTTACACATGAAACTAATTGCCATGCTATCCTCACAAGACAGATGGAACTTGATTTGCTCCTTATTTAGTATTACATACATCACATGCCAAGAAATTTTGACACCTAAAGATAGAACATGCACAATCAATGAATGCAAAAAATAGGTTTAATGCAAATAGCAAATGTCATGTCCAAACACAAGCTAGGCAGCTCCTTTACTTCTAGAGGCAATCTGGACTACTTATAAAGTAATGCTATTTTCATTAGCAAATGAAATTGCTATGAAGACATATCTAACACCATTCCAACCAACTGAGAAGTTCAAATGTAATCACATCACAGCTTTGAGAAAAGTGGATTGGTCGTAACAAATAACTGCAAAGTATACTGATCCAAGTGATGACACAGATGATATTAACAGTAGTTCCAACATGGTATCCATAATTATCATGAGGACAATGGCAGACCTATGACAACTTCTTGGGAGAATTGTGCTATAGTGAGAGCTGTGTACATATACCAACAACTTTACTACCTTCTCTTCAAATCCAACCCCTATCTGCCATCTGAAACACTTGCTTACATTGCTTAGATATGTAGAACCATAGCCAACACCATCTCAAAGAATAAGGCCTGAGCATGAGCGGCTGAGTGGTCAGTGACGTCATAAGCAGAAGGCCAACGTGAAGGGGTGGAAAACTGCTCCCACAATCATCCAGCGATTAAGATAAAATTTACTCATTTTTACTATACTATCACTTTCTAAATATTCAGAGCTTAATTTTAAATTAAAATTTTTGATCTATGGAAAGTTGTTCAGAAATTATGAACAACTAAAAATATAAATACTGCATACAATTTTTTTCTCCAAATCCACAGACACTTACTTTTCAAGTAGTGTGCGAGTGATTGAAATTAAATATAAAAATAAATGCTAAATAATAAAAAATAAATTTAAATTCATGATAACTATGTATGTAATTTAAATAATAATAAATATGCCTTGAAAATTAACGAACAAATAAACAGTAAGTGAGAAAATTACTAAAATTCAGGCATGATATTACCCCCCCCCCCACACACACACACACACACACACACACAAAAAAAAAAAAAAAAAAAAAAAAAAAAAAAAAAAAAGAGCTGAAAGAACAAGTAAAAACTTTGAACAGCATTTCATTTTCCTTATGAAGTGTGCTTTTCATTCATATATTTCGGGGAAATCAGACAAAAGAATTTTAGCAAAAAAGCATAAAATCAAATGCTAAAATTTTTTAATTCCATAATGTGAAGAGGCTCGAACAGTAAGTATGTTCTTCATCTGAAAAGCAAAATAAATTGAAACTTGCACTACAAAGAATTTTTACATGCAAAATGAAAAAATAAAATTTTATGAAAAGCACAAGACATAAATCGTATTCTAAATTGCACAAAGATTTAATTTTTATTGTCTCGCTTTTAAAGCTAAATCTTTACTTCTGTGTAAGTTAATTTCAATGGATTTCAGTAGACTTATCTAATTAACAAGAAATTAATGGTATAGTTTTTTAACAAGTTTTTTTTTTATTTGGCAAAATTTTCAATAAAACTTAAAATTGTGCATTATATTTATACATTCATACAAATGTTTGCAATTGTATATTGCTTAAAATTTACAGTTTTACTTCTCTAAGCCTGTTAATCCCTTCTTTTAATTTAGATGCTTACTTTATTTAGTTCATTCATTACTTCTTTCATTTAGGAAAAGTTAATCTTTGAAAGAAATGGTTACATTTGTTGATGACCGAAAACAGAAAATTAAACTACTATCATATGCTAATTCAGAAATCAAACAACAAAAAATCAGCGTTATATTTACAAAGTTTTCACAGGACTAGTTTTGATGGTTTTACCGAACCACCATCTTCAGCTGCAAAACCGCAAATGAACAAGATAGGAAATAATGTTTAGATAAGATAAGAAAGCCTGGACAAGAATAAGCAAGTGGCGCCATCTGTTGGTAAAACCAGGACTAAAACATAATTTCTTTAAAGGCCGAAGGCAAATTTGGATTGGAATTAGGATCGTTAACTAGAACAGAAAGATTTTTATGAATGTGATATGCCTCTAGAAAATCCAGTTCTCCAATGGAAGATGTTTTTTGAATAATTTTGGCAGAAGAAAAACTGAAAGTGTGGTTTTCGGACCAACAATGTTGAGCAACAGAAGACTTCTGTGTTTCCTTTTTTCTAACATATGCCTCATGTTCCTTGACGCGAAATTTTAAGGCTCTCTTAGTTTGGCCAATGTAAATTAAACCACACTGGCAAGGAATCCTATAAATACCCCAGGAATTCATATCCGGAATGGGGTCCTTGAGTATGGAACTCGGAATTTTATTGATGGGAGAATAAACAACCCGAAAGTTAAATTTCTGCAAAATATGTGCAACTTTATAGCTAATTGATGGAAAGAAGGGAATGACAACAGAATTTTTAT